ACGCCGACACCACCGTCGAATCGCCGAGCCGACGATGTACCACACGTGCCACCTACGCCTCGTGGTTCGGTGGCCGCTGCAGTTGCGAAGAGTTCTTCATCTCCTGCCGCACCGTGCGTTTCCGAGCCGCGTGTGCCCCCCGAGGCCGCAGGTGACATGCGCGACGTCTTCCGTCTGGACACGTACTTGTCTGTCTCTGCGCCGGTGGGCGCACCTGCACCGCTTCCGGCTCGCCAGGACTCCCATGTGTCGCAGGTGTGCATCGACTGGTGGAAGATCGTGCAGGACTGCAAGAAGCATAACTTCGAACCTCTTGTCCGGGATCTTCCTTGGGGTACCTGAGACCGTACACCGCGATGCGGGGACATCCGTCACGGTGATTCATCTACGCGCGTCGGCACGGTCCAACTCGGTGTCGAGCTGTTTATCGCTTGTACCGTGTTACTAAGCAAGCGTCACTCATCCTGGCCAGAGGGCGTATCTTTGGACCCATCCTCGACGTCGAACACGACGGACCCTACGTCAGTGCGAGCATCCCGTGTTTTGGTCACGGCCCGTTTTGGGTCAACATTTGGTATCGCGATCAGGGTAACGACCAACGCGGCTTCCACTTCGCGATCCCTCTTCGTGACGACTTGCCGTCGGCTCGGATTGGCCATGTCGGCAAGTATGACTTCGACGACTTGAAGCTCGCTGAGGGGCAGCGAACGCGATCTGTGTTCCTGGGGCGACGGGGGAGAGGGCAATGCTTTTGTATGGCGAGAGCAAGCATGAGCAGCCCAATCGTGGGCAAGCGCATAACTGAATTCAGAGCCTCTCGCGAAGGGCGGCGGCAAGGACTGCTGTTGACCGATCAAGCGCGCCCGCCGAGCGTACGGGGATCTGGCCCTGGAAACAACGCTGCCCCCCCCAGCGACCTTCAATCGACGATCACCTTGGCTTCCCTGACGACGGCATCGTTGTTGACGTCGGTTGAAACACCCGCAGATCATGGCGATTCCACCGCGCCGAAGCACGACGACGGTCGCGCTGTCAGAAACGATGAGAACATGGTCCTGACTACGATCCAAGTCATTGAAGACTTGGGAACTGTCCGGCGACGCTTTTCGACGTATTCGTCAGTCTGGTGAAGGCATCGAGGGTCTCCCAGTGTCGATCGCCCCGCTCTGCGAGGTGGAACAGATATGTGCTGCGCAGAACGCGGGTAACACTTAGCAGTGCCGCAGCCACCTCGATATCAAGTTCCGCTTCGACTTCACCTCGAGCTGGTACACATGTCCTTTAGCCCGTTCAGCCCGTGGGCCAAACAACTCCCCGACGCCTGTGGACACCGCGGCTTCATCTCGACAGTGATGACGGAGACGGATTGGAGCGACGATGCTGATTTTGTGTCTCCCGTTGGATACCCCATCTCCTTTGCTCTTATACAGAACGACGCCACTCAGCGCCAAATGGAAACGACAGCGTCGGACATCCGAAGAGACTTTCCCGCCCTGGATTCCTTGTCCAATCTATGGGGGAACGATGTGTCGTCCAACCCGAAGTGCAACGCCTTTGTGGACGACCCGATGAAGGACAATATAGACCTCAGGGCTGACGTCAATCCGCCCCCTACCGACGCCCCTGGTCCTGCTGCCGACCCTGGTAGCTCAGCGTCCGCCGTTGCTCCGACCCAGGAACAACTACTGAGCGCTCTGCGGACCTACTCCGACGACGGTCTGCGGGGCGTCGAGCGAGAGGCGAGGGGCGTGGAGCTCCGCGCCACTGCGGAACGGCTCTTGACGGAGCATCAGGGCACGGCCTCAGCACGCCATACTCGCGATCAGATCTCGGCAGGAGACCTCTCCGATCCGATGGCTCACAATGGATTGGAGTCTCTGGCCGCCGATCTGGCCACCGATCGCGCTCGCTTGTTTCCGAATCATGCTGTCCATGATCTCGGTCGATCGTTGAGCGCTGATGGTAATGCCCGCAATCGCGTTTTGCGGCTGATCCAGCTTGGTGCCGAGGATTTACAGACCGCGAGGCGTCATTGTCCAAGCTGCTACCGCGATCTCCCCAACAACTTCCGAGGTGACCTCTGCTACGAGTGTGCAGTGAGTCGCAAAAGCATGGGGGGACTGGAGCTGCTCAGATCCACTTCCTGGCGGACGTGCACGCCAGGATCAGCGACGCCTTGAATGGGGGCATCGTTCGGCAGCTCATGCATGCTGACGTTCAGATTCGCCTTCGGGGCGCCCGCTCCGACGCGGGAGAATGGCGAGATTTCTTTCGCCGACTGGCAGGCAAGGCGGAGAACCGTTACGACAGGTGGGTGGAGGCCGGTGGCCCTCCCGCAAGGTCATGCCGATTCGGCGGTGCTTGCGCTGATGAGGGAGATGCTGTCCTGCATCGCCCATGTGCCGACATCGTGGAGCGTTTTCAGACGGATCCGTTGTTCTATGAACAGATGATTGGCGCCCGAAGACTTAAGGGCGAGCGGCCACTCGCGATCGATGATATGCGCGACGGCCTGCAATACTATCGTGACAGCGTGAGTTCTGGCTGCGCGGGCCGAAGGGCGCAGGCCCCCGGCGCGCTCGGCCGCGGCGAACGCATCGGACGTGGGCCCCTCGCCTTTTGAGCTCCCTCTGGGAGAGGTCAAGGTTCGATGGGTCGCGCCGCGCTGACTGAGCTCCGCGAGCAGGTCCCCAAAGGCGCTGGGAAATGTACCAGGCGTGAGGACCCTGCTCCCACCATTGGCCCTGTTCGCCTCGCCCCTGCACCTCCGCTCCCGCGCCGCAATGTCCCCGTCGGCGGCTGTGCCCATGGCGGCGGTGCTGGCTGGGCCGGCAACGCTGGCTCTGCGTCGAGTTCGCGGCGGCCCCCCGCGCCGCAGCGGCGGCCGCCGCGCGAGACGGAGGCCCGAGGCCGCCGGCGTAGTGCCGCGCGCGAGCGCCGCAATGTGTATACATGGTGGCGCCGTGACTTCCAGCATTACCAGCGTGATGCGTGTTGTTACTACTTGGTTCCAACGGAAGTTTCCTAGGAAACTCGCAAGAGGAATACTATGTATGTAAACCCGTCGGCAAGATGAAAAGTCGCGCGCGCGTGCTCAGCGTTCGCACGCACGCGACCCCAAGACGTCCCATGGCCACAACATGCTTCCAGGAATGCCTCAGGCCACGGACGATGACGTCCAGAGGGCCCAGGATGATGCCACCCCAACGCGATCCCGCCATGGATTCTGGACCGTCTCAGGCCGACTCGCAGATGACGAAACACATGAGCAACGCGTGACGCCGAGATGGCCCGATGGCAACAAGATGGATCCAAGCGCACCCAGGGTGGCCTCATAATGACCACGCGATGGTTGCGTGATCCAAACATGACCGGGATATGATCTCAAAATGACCTCAAGACGACCCCAACACGGCAATAATACTGCAACTTATGAGCCCCATCTTACTTCGAGCCGATCCCAGCATGGTGGGATCCGTGAACGGCCCGGGATTTTGGTCTACCCAATTTTTAATGGGTGGGATTTTGATCGTCCTGAACTAAACTTATAATATTAAAGCGGAATAAGCAGGCGGGATCCCGCCCGGCCCACGGAGGAAGATGAGATATACATTAGGATCAGATTATATCATTGCACGGCTGGCTACTCCTGGGTTCCATTCTGATCTGCGTTCTTTGGTTCTGGATACTTCATATCTATTGTGATCGCAATGCGCGTTATTGCATTGCGAAGCTTGATATCATGTCGTCCAATTTGGCATTCAGGACATGACCGCACCCAAGCAGGTCGCCGGCCAACAATCTCATCGAATGTAACTGCACTTTATCGATCTTGGGAAGGCATCCGAATACGACCGACGCGTTGCATAATCCCAATGATTCTTCTTTTGAGGACGTCATCACACTTCGTGCGTAATTTTAACGTTGCAGCGTGTTCTTTTGGGGCCTGGAGTGCCTCGCAAAATGCATGATACATCTACACATATCAGTTGGCATCACAGTTATCTTTATACACTTTGAATTGGGGCCGGGAGAGCACTGTCAATATTTTGGGCTTGGAGAGCCCCGTGATTGAGATATTCTTTGGTTTGATCGAGTTGCCGTCGCAACTCTGATCCGTTACACTTTGCGCGCGCTCGCTGTGCGCCCGTGTAGACACCCGCATCGAAGGATGCGGATGAGTGCCCCTCCTGATCTTCTCTCCCTTGCTTCCCCAGCCTCGTCGCCTGTGGTGACGGGGAGTCGTCCAGGTGTGCCGAAGCGCTTTTGAGGGGCGCACCCTGGGCCCGCTACAGGCGGGTAGACCCTTTTAGGTACCCCGTGTGACGGGGTTGGTCCTTTCCCCACTTTCCTAGCCGATGCAACCTCGTTTGGAGGCGCGGTTGATATGACGGGGTTGTGAGTGGACCTCACACCTCTGCTCCCGAACCCTGCCGTTGTCTCCCGTGGACCCGAGGCCATCGTGGAACTGGCAGGTCTCGGGACGGTGTGTGTGTGTGTGTGTGTGTGTGTGAAATCCGCTCACGTCCCCATTATTTCAGTGCATACTGCAATTGTATCGGTTCAGGTATGGACATCAATGCAAACAGTGCGCTGCCCTCCGCGCGGCGCCCGGGGAAAAAAGTAGCGGAACCCTGTATAGGATCGACCCTTCGGTCGTCTCCCTATGCGTACAAACGCCGCCACCGCCGCCACCACCGCCACCACCACCACCACCGCCATCACCGCCACCAGCGCCACCGCCACCGCCACCGCCACCACCACCACCGCCACCACCACCACCACCATCACCACCACCTCCTCTCGCATCCTCCCCCCCCTCCCAGGAGAGAGGAAGGGAAACGGAGGGGAGGAGGAGGGCGGAGGAAAAAGGGGGATGGAGGTGGTTCTTGTGGTGTATATCCGTGGGAATCGCATGCGCCCGAAGGTCTCAAACCTCGAGCCTTGAACCTGTCGTTGCCCCTCAGCCGTGGCCCTCCCTTGCGTTCCCCCCATCGCAGGCGCGCGGCAGTGGCCAGGTCTTTTTGTCGCGGCGCCGCTGCGCCGCACTGCTGTCCGCCGGCCTGCTCCGCGCTCTGCCGCAGCCGCAGGGCCCCGAACTGCCCGACTTCTCGTTCGACTACGTCCTCGACTACGACGAGGAGAAGGTGTTCATATCCCTTGCGATCCTGGCTTTGCCTTTTGCACAACGGGTGTTTCCGCTTGGTTTCGGGCCCATGGGCCCTCACAGATCGATCTGGCTCGGGAAAACCGCCGCAGAAGGATGGGGTGTGGCTCCAATGGTGAGTTCTTTTGCTGGGAGATTTTGCAATGTTGCTGCAACGTCAGATCTAAGGGCCGGCGGCGAGCGGTAGGTCAGAGGGGGCGGGCCTGCCCGGGAGACTCGGGAGGCGTGAGGCCTTCTCCAAAGACAGAGGCGTCGTTTCAGAAGGTCCGGGGGCTCCTGAGAAGCCCCGCCGCCTTTGAAGAGGCCTACCCCCTCTCTCTTCTCCCCCGGGCTCGCCGCCAATCCGGGGAGGGACACACGCAACCAATATCATGCCGGGAGGATTCTGGCAGCTTTTGGCCTCGGGGGGCCCTCGCGGGGCCCTGGTCGGGCGAGAGTCTCGAATCCTCCTCGCCCGAAGGCAACCTCGTCCTGGCCTCGTCTCACCTGGGGCCGTCGAGGAACGACTCGGCCGGAGCAGCCAGCCCTGCGGGGCACAGGGTCGGACCAGGGCGCCGCGCGCCTGGGCCCCACGTGGAGGTCTTCGACGGCCGGCCTCGTCCAGGCCCACCGCTCTGCCCCGATTCGGGCCCCCCAGGGTCTGCCAGGGCGCCCCCGGGGGGTCAGAGAGACCAGGGTCTGCCAGGGCGCCCCCCCCCCCCCAGTAGAACGACCAGGGCGACAGCTGCTCCTCCTCCTCCTCCTCGATCCTCGATCCTCCTCCTCGATCGTCCTCCCCGTCCCCCCTCTCCCTCCGAACGACCAAGACCCTTGTGAAACCCTTCGAGAAGCCCTCCCAAACCCTTCGGGGAGAATTTTTGTCGGAGGGTTTTGGGAAGGTTTCGGGCGTTTTGGGGTAAACCAGTCGCCTGCGAACGTTTGACTTTCTCACTCTCGGGCCCGTTATCGGGCCCCGGGCCCATCAGACATGGACCCGGGACGAACACAACTACTCCCGGGTAAGGGGGTCGGACTTCTGGGGCCGCCCAACCAACAAAAATCACATCGTCGGTTTTCCGGGTGCGAGGATCGTGGATCGAGGATTGCGGTTTCTCTATAAGGCCGGCCTGCAGGGTCCCGCTTCGGTGCCCAAGGGCCGCCATGAAGTTCGATTTGGGATGGACAGCTGGCCAGGACGGACCCCAGCGGGGTCGGGAGACCGGTTCTGAGCGTTTCTCGGGGCCCGCCAGGGCAGAGGGAGGGTGAGGAGGAGCAGGAGGAGGGGGACATACTGAAACCGATGCCCTTGCCTTGTTGTCGCCTTCCTGAGCCTCTGGGGGGCCTTCGTCGCCACGGCTGGATCTGCCTGGGAATCCGGGTCAGCACGCGTCCAGGGAGAGCTCCACGGAGTAGCGGGGTGGGTATCTCGGTGCCCCCCCAGGTGCTGTGCTTGCTGAGCTACCTCTGGCAGGTGGGTCGCGCCGATGCCGGCGCCCTGGACGAGGTCGTGTCGTTCGCGCGCAGGAGTGGCGGCAAGATGCCCGAGAAGTTCTGGCAGCAGCTGGACAAGCCGCTGCTGGCGGCGCGGGTGGAGGACGGCGTGATCGAGGATTCCGACGGGAGCCTGCAGGCAGATTTCGCCAACGCGTACCTCGGCGGAGGCGTTCAGAGGAGGAAAAGGGTACCGATGCCGCTACCCTTGCCTCGCTTTCGCCTTCCTGGGGCTTCTGAAAGGCCCTCGTCGCCACGGCTGGATTCGCCTCTAAATTCTGGTCAGAATGCACTCCTGCAGAGGTCTGGGGAGTACGTAGCGGTATCAGGATCTCTTGGTTTCGCCAGGCGTGCTTATCGGCGGGAACGTGCAGGAGGAGATCCGCTTCTCGGTCTGCCCGGAGTGCCTAGTGGGCCTGCTGTTCTGTGAGAGGATGGGCCCCGAGGAGGCGATCACCATCGTGGGGGCGCAGCAGTACAGCAATTACAGCGGGTACGGCGGGAGCTTCGCATTTGCCGGCCCGTGCACCGCCAAGAGAGGCGGCCCAGCGGACGGGAAGAAGCGGCTGGGGCCGCACATCGTCGCCCTGGATGCGCTCGAATTCCCCGGGGGCAGCCAGTACGAGCCCCCCCTCGTGCTTCGAGAACTCACGAAGGCGTACACGGCGTGCCTGGGGGATTTCGAGGACGACGGGGGCGGGGGCCTGGTCTATAAACAATGTGGGCCAGGCTCAGATCATATGAACAGGTTCTGTCGCGTGTTAGTCTCATTGTTTCTCGTTGAAGTTCACTGTTCCTCATTAATTTCCAGAGCTCTTCTCTGAGCCAATTCGCCAGATGGCCAGGCCGCCGCTGCCTCAAGGTCACCTTGAAACTTGCCAATGCGATCTGGGCCCTGCTCTCATTACAGTGGAGGCCCATGCCAAGAAGCACCCTGCTTGCCTCCAGGGTGCCCTGGGTTTCTTCGGTTTTGATGGTTTTGCTTTGGAAGGCGTGACGTTCCCAGCCAAAAATCAATGGACGTCCTGGGGTCTCAGGGTGGGGTTTCTTGTGGAAGGTTTCCTGTGGACTGGTCTCCATTGTCGTTTTCTGGACCAGGTCGCGGCCCTTGAGAGGAGGGCGCCGGCGTGCGCCGCGAGGCCTTCGCCACTGGCAACTGGGGCTGCGGGGTCTTCGGCGGGGACCCTCAGCTGAAGTCCATGATCCAGTGGCTGGCGGCTTCGGCGGCGGACCGCCAGCTCGTCTACTTCCCGTGCCCACCAGTCGGTGAAAGGATGCATTTTTTCGGCGGCGAGCGGGGGGGGGGAGTGAGAAGGAGAAGGCCTTCTCAGAAGGTTCGGAAGTCTCCTGGCCTTCTGAGAAGTTTTTCTAAGCCTTCCCCAAAGACACAGAAAACTTCTCAGAAGGCGCGAGGGCTTCTGAGAAGTCCCGCCGCCTTCTGAGAAGGCCTTCTCCTTCTCGTTTCCCCCCCTCGCTCGCCGCCAATAGTTGGATCCCCAAATCCCAAGCTAGTTTAGGCGCCTTCCTACTTCAAGAGTCGACTGATTGTCCCCCCTTTTCCCTCCTCTTCAGGGGGCGGGTGGACACCCAATCTACTTTCAATGCCTGCCTCCTTCACGTTTCTGTCCACTTCTTCCGACCGGCTGGTATTCTAGGCTGCCCAGATGGGGTCGGAGTAGGTGGGGTCGGAGGCTCGCGCCGCAGCGCCGATGCATCGGCGATGCCGCTCTGTGGAGCCTGATTTCCTCGACGCCGACGTCGCCGATGCATCGCCGACGTCGCCAGAGCATCGCCGAGCGGCGCGATCCTCCGACCCCATCTACTCTGACCCCATCAGGCGTCTAGGTACGGGGACCGCCGCGTCGACGACCTGCCGGCGGTCATCCAGGCAGTGCAGAAGAAATATTCCCGGTGTTCCGAGCTCTACAACTTGCTGCGCAGCTGCTGCTCGAAGCACAGCAAAGGTGAGGAGCTGTTCAAGAGCGTGCTCAGCCACTGCAAGTAGCGGACGCACGCGCTCTTCCTCACCCCATGTGTCTTCCAGTGCGATCGACATGGGGACGGGAAGAATGGGGACGAACCCCAACAGCAGGTCCTCTTCATTTTGAAGGGGATTCGCTGTCGGTGTTGACGCGAACGTCGTCCATTCGAGATAAAATGTCGCCCGCCCATCAGCGGCCGCCGTTGGGTTTGGACACGACTTGCTGTCGCGCATCGTAGCCTTTTTCCCGTCCCCGTTGCGGGCGCGCAACCTGTGCTGTTCCACTCCTTGGTCTGTCGTCGCTGTTGCACATTGCAGCCAGACCAGCCTGTACCTCGTCTCCGCGACAAGCTGCGAACCCTACCCCTGCGGATCCAATCTACGCTTGGGTATCGGACCCTCCGCCGGGGTTCGCTTGGCTGCAGGCATCCTTCGCATTCTGAACCCCAGCCGCCTGCTTAGAACTCTGCCGCTGAGCAGAGGACCACTCTCGGCTCGGGAGGGGCTTTGGTCTTCGGGCCGTTCCCAGGACCTGGCTCGGGGAGCCTCTTCCTGGCCGAGGCCCGTCGTGGCCAGACTCCGCATTGGGCGTTCCTTCTGCTAGCACGGTGGTCGTGGGGTTCACAAGTGGTCGCCGAGCGCAAATCAGGGCTCGACCCAAGCGGTGTTTCGGCGATTGCGTGGATCGTTTTCGTTTCGAGACCTCGTTTCGCAGCAAAGGAGGAGCGACGACAGCACGAGGGAAAACGGATCCAACACGAAAGCGAAGCGCACCGCGTAGGTCGAGACCTGGCGTCGACTTCGCTGAGAGCCCACGGCCGAGACAGTCTTCTGTCTCGGGCCCCCAGAGGCGCACGTCCTGTGACCGCAGGCGCGGCCCTCACCCAGGCCGCGCCGCTGTACAGGCGGCATGTTCGACCACGAACGGGACGAAAACAGGTGGCTCGCATGCCCCAGTTGGTGATCGTCTTTTCATTAATTCTTTTGCCGATCGGCGCGGGCCCCCAAACCCCCCCCCCCCCTTCCCCATGGAGTGGATCTTGGCTGTTTTTGGCGCCTGTCTCGAGCAGGTGGAGTCCTTCCCCCATAGGCCGCACTCTTGCAAACAGCCGCACTCAGCAGAGGTCCGGAGCCAGACCCCTCCCCCTCCCCCCCTTTCCGCCCAATGTCGAAACGCCGAATCTGAAAACGCTCACTTGTGGCGCGAAGGAGGGCGCGGGCCAGGAGAAGCAGGGAGAGGACAGGCGGGCCCGCACGCCGAACGCGTAAGAGTGGTGTCGTGTCCCATCGAGCCAGGGGCCCGAGTCCAGCTCCACGCCAAGACGAGGCAGAGGGTTTGTTTTGAGGGGGGGAGGTGGAATGGGCGTGGGGAGGACGGGAGGGCTTCCTGGGCCCCTGGAGCCTTTTCGAGTCTGCCTGCCTGTCTTCCCCAGTCGAGCACCACATGCCACTCAGCTCACACAGCTTGCTCTGGGCCACGGCTCGTTGTCGCCTGAACTCACTCACTTGGAGTGCTCACATCCCTCCGAGAAGCCAGACAAAAGCGGGAATGTTCCCTTTTCGAGGAGGGGGAGGAGGCGGAGGCGGAGGAGGAGGAGGAGGAGGAGGAGGAGGAGGAGGAAGAAGAGGAGGAGGGCTCCCAATGCGCCCGCGAGGACCCCAGGCCCCGCAAGTCCTGAAGCCAGCCTTCTGCTGACCCTGCTGGGAGATGCTCAGAAGCCCGCAAAGCGGAGGCTCGACCACCATCCTGGAGGGCTTCTTTCTCCATCCTGGAGCTTCCTCATTCCTCTTGGAGCTCTGCAAGCATGTGGAGTGGCCATCCTCATCTTCAGCCTCTCTTCCATCTTCCCGCCCGCAGTCCCCTCCCATCCTCCTCGATCTCTTACCGCTCGTCGCCGCCTCAACTTCCTCATCCACCCTATCCTCCTCCCTCCTCGGCCGACTCCCCAGACCCCCGACGCCATGTTTTTTGGTTTGTTCACGACGTCGGACCCCCAGCGATCTCCACCCATTCCTCAGGACCGGCTTCTGAACCCGAGCCCTCCTGCGACGGCCAAGGGGCCCGGTGAGTCCCCCCCAGAGGCCGCAAGCAGAGCGACGGAATCCGTCGTGTTTTTTTCTTTGCTCACGGCGCGAGGGGGTCGGTCCCTCTCGGAGGGGGCCCGGACATCCTCGCGCTTCCTCCCGCCTTCTTCTCCCTCTCCCATCTGTCGGCCGCGCCTGATCGCATCTGGCTCCGAGCGAGCGCTTCAGGGCGTTGGCTTCTCGAGCCGACTCGCATCGTCTCGGAGTCGTCCAGCGCAGGATCCTCGAAGATTCAGCGTTTCGCCGAGGCTCGCAGGAATCAGTGAAGGGCGAAACTTGAGATATCCTGTCCTCTTCCTGATCTCGGGGAGCAAAGAATGCCATCAACATAAACTCTCGGAGGTCCGCGCGGAATTCTGGGATTGGCGCCTGACCCCCCTCCCTGGAGCAGAGCGCGCAAGGTGCGGCGCCGGAGGCGCTGCCAGGGGGGCCCAGGCGCCGACCCAAGAAATCCGCGCGGACCTTCGAAAGTCTGTGCTGATGGCATTGTTTGTTCCCCTATCCTCTTTGTAGTGTCTCTCCCGTTGCTCGGCTGGCGTCTGATCCTCTTGCGCCCGCGGACCCGGCCCACAGTGCTACCCTATCTTGCGCCTGGGGAGCGGGAGGTCTCGGCGGCCGCTGCCATCTCGGCCCACGCGCTCTGGGCGCCGGGTCGGCAGGGCGGGCCGGGGGCGGCCGCGGCGGCGGCGGCGCCCTTGCGCGCCCCCGACCCCCGCGGCCCAATGCAGTCCTTCTACTCCGCGGGCTCCGGGCTCCAGGCGCCCTGTCGAAGAGGAGTATCGATACTGCGAATCATGAGAAGATGGAGAAGATGATTCATAGCAGTACTAACACTGCTGACAACCATAATCGCTTCAACACGGGTATAACAAGGATGATGAACCTTTCATAACAAACAACAAGGGTAAAACGAGTAACAATGGTATTGCTAAGACTCATTATTATCCTGGCGAAAGACCCAATAATCTGCAGTTGCGAGGACCGTCGTTGTAAGTATCGCCTTCGGTGGAGCTCCCTAAGGGGCCACGGAACGCGTGAGGGGTGTGCCGAAATTGGTAGGGCGGCCGCATGTGGACATGGTCACTGGGGCCTTCGGTGGAGGTCCCTATGCGGCCACGAGGCATGTGAGGGGAGTGCCGACATGGGTGGGGCGGCCGCATGTGGACATTTGCATCGGGGTTTTCGGTGGTCCCTGTGGGGCCACGAAGCGTGTGAGGGGTGTGCCGACATGGGTAGGGCGGCCGCATGTGGACATGGCCACAGGCCTTCGGTGGAGCTCATTATGGGGCCACGAGGCGTGTGAGGGGTGTGCCGAAACGGATAGCGAGCCGCTGTACTGGGCGGAGGAACCGCATGCGGACACCGCCACTGAAGCCTTCGGTGGAGCTCCATATCGGGCCACGAAACGCTACACTTGGTGGGGGGACCGCATGCGAACACCGCCACTGAGGCATTCGGTGGATCCCCCCCACGGGGCTGCGAAGCGCTGTACTGGGTGGGGCGACCGCATGCGGAAACCGCCACTGAGGCCTTCGGTGGAGCTCCCTACGGGGCCACGAAGCGTTGTACAAGGTTGGGGAACCGCATGCGAACACCGCCACTGAGGCCTTCGGTGGAGTTCGCGGCACCAAACTCTGTATTGGGTGGGAAAACCGCATGCGAGCACCGCCACTGAGGCCTTCGGTGGAGCTCTTTGTGGGGCCACGCAGCGCTGTACTGGGTGGGGGAACCGCATGCGGACACCGCCACTGAAGCCTTCGGTAGAGCTCCCATATGGGGCCACGAAGCGTTGTACTGGGTGGGGGAACCGCATGCGGACACCGCCACTGAGGCCTTCGGTGGAGCTCCCTATGTGGCCAGGGAGCGTATGAGGGTTGTGCCGAAATGAGATGCGGCGGGCAGAGGCACGGAGGGGCAGGAGGAAGGAGGCGGAGGAGGACGGAGGAGACGCGGGGCGTTGTCTCTTCAAAGCGAGGACCCACCACCACATGAGGGTTTGGACAACCACAACGGCATTTCAACATTCGGAGGCCCGCGCGAGTTTACGTGGACCATCGAACTATGATTTTTAAAGAACATATGATGATGCTGATGACGATGTTGATGACGATGGTGCTGATGATGATGCTGATGAGGATGACGATGACGATGTCGTTGCTGACGATGATGATGATGGTGATGATGCTGATGCTCATGCTGACACTGATGATGAGTATGACGATTGATGCTGATTCTGATGATGATGATGCTGATGCTGCTGTTGTTGATGCTGATTCTGATGCTGAGACAGACCATGCTCATGATCATGCTGATGACGATGCTGGTGCTGAAGCTGACGCTGGTGCTGATGCTGATGATGCTGCTGCTGATGATAATGGTGATGTCGATGCTGATGATGACGATGATGATATTGGTGATGCTGATGGTGATGCATTTGGTGATGCTGATGTTGTTGATGCTTATGATGATGGTGATGATGGTGATGATGCTGATGGTGATGATGGTGATGATGGTGATGGTGAGAAGGATGGTGAGGGTGAGGGTGGTGATGATGACGAGTATGACGATGATGATGATGATGATGATGATCATGCTGATGATGCTGCTGCTGATGATGATGTTGATGATGATGATGCTGCTGCTGATGATCATGATCATAATCATGATGATGTTGATGATGGTGATGATGATGATGCTGATGCTGATGATGGTGATGGTGATGGTGATGATGATGATACTGTTGCTGATGATGATGCTGATGATGATGCTGATTATGATGATGATGCTGATGATGATGCTGATGATGATGATGCTGATGATGATGCTGATGATGATGCTGATGGTGATGATGACGATGATGATGATGATGATGATGATGATGATGATGATGGTGATGATGATGATGATGATGATGACGATGATGATGATGATGATCATGATGATGATCATGATGATGATGATGATGATGATGATGATGATGATGATGATGATGATGATGATGATATGATGATGATGATGATGATGATGATGATGATGATGATGATGATGATGATGATGATGATGATGATGATGATGATGATGATGATGGAGGAGGAGGAGGAGGAGGAGGAGGAGGAGGAGGAGGAGGAGGAGGAGGAAAGGGATGAGGAGGAGGAAGAGGAGGAGGAGGAGGAGGAGGAGGAGGAGGAGGAGGAGGAGGAGGAGCAGGTGAATGAGGATAGAACAACAAAGCACGGTATAACCACAACTCGTCGGAGGTCCGCGCGGTCTCTTGGGTCGGCGTTGGCCCCCCCACTAGCGGCGCCTCCAGCGCCGCCCCTGGCGCCCTCCGCGCGCCAGGGAGGGGGATCCAGCGCAGGTAAAGAACTGTCGGCGGAGCTCCGACAGGTTACGTTTGTGCCGTTGTTCCTTACCCTAGCCCTGCCCGTTGCATTTTTATGGTTCGATGTAACATTTCAAAACCTTGATATCCTCGCGTCGCGGAAACATCTTGACTGCAGTTTTTTCGCCGTTTTCGGGATATAAACGGAGAACAGAAGTGTCTCCCGCACGGGGGACGGGGAGCTCTAGACCGCCTGGTCCGGCAGCCGTTTCGCCTAAGACTTCTCGCGGTATTCCTTCCGCTTTGCGGGGTGCACGTCGGGACCGCGGAGAGCACGGGCGTTTCGGGTTTCTTCGAGTAGGCTCTGTGGCGACTCCCGCGAGTGCGAGCCTCCTCGGGGCGTCCTGGGCCGGTTTGGGGCGCTGCTTTGCGCCGTGTGAGTCCTTCGCCCGCGCGCGGGCCTCTTCAAAGCCTCGTGTGGCCTCGACGGGCCCCTCGGGCCGTGCCGGACCGTTCTGGGGCCCCATGGGTGCTTCTGTGGAGCGTATAAGAGCCTGGCGACCAGAACGCGTAGGACATGGACATAAAGGGGGTCTTGTGGGAGGCGTTTGGAGCCCTCTCGGGGGCCCGTCGGGGGCATATCGGAAACCCTTGGGGGAACACTGGGGAGAGGATGAGAAATGCTGATGATGAGGAGGAGGAGGATGATGATGAGGAGGAGGAGGAGGAACAGGAGGCCTCTTGAAGCCCTCTTGAGGCCTCCTAGGGTCTTTTTGTGAGCTTTTTTGGGGGCTCCAAGAGACCTCTTGGAAGCCTCCTGGAGCCTCCTAGGGTTCTCTTGTGGTCGCGTGGAGACCTCTGAGGGGCCTCTCGGTGCCTCTACCGGACCTCTTGGCCTTCGAGGGCCGTCTTGGAGGTCTGTGGGGCATGTCGTCGCCGCCGCTGCAATTTCCATGCCGCCTTAGCAGTGCTGGGCAGTGACGTGCGAGGGCTCGGCGGGGACTTCGCACAACCCCCAATGTGCCCTTGCTTGGTTGAGCGGGTTCGAGCCTGAGGGCCCCGGAGCAAACCATGTTACAATGCTGCTCTTTCCTGGGTGCACGTCGCCGCCGCCGCCGCCGCTGTCGCCATTGGCTGCGTCCCGCGGGTCGCCTCCCCGTCGGCGAGGCCGCTCGGACCCGGCCTCGGCGGCCATATCGCCGTCGCCGTCGTCGCCGTCGTCGTCGTCGTCGTCGTCGTCGCCGTCGCCGCCGCCGCCGCCGCCGCCGTTAAGGCCGTGGCTGCCGCGGAGCTGCAGCCGGCCCCGGCGGCGGAGGCCGGCGGCGCCTGGCCCGCCCCGCCCGAGGCCCGCGGGCCGCCGCTGGAGCCGGCGGCGCCCGGCGGCGCGGCGCCGCCGCGGCGTTGGGCCGCGGCGGAGCCGGCCGCCGCCGCGGCGGCCGCGCCGTGGGCCTCGCCGCCCACGGCGGCGGGCGGGACGGGCGGCGGGCACCCCGCGCAGGCGGAGGCCCGCGGGCTGGCGCCCGCGGTCGGTGGTTCGAAGCGGGGCTCGAGCTGAACGGCGTGTTGGCCGTGCCGTGGGTCGTTTTCGTGTTGATTTTGCAGCGCAGCGAAGGCAGGACGAAGACAGAACGAAGCAAAACGAAAAAAAGACGGAAGCGAAAAGCACAGTTTAGCTCGAGCCCTGGTTCAAAGATGGGGCCCTGAGGGATGGGGTCCGAAGGAGGAGATGCCTCAAACGACGTAAATCCACCCTTGGATCCCTTCCTATCCTCATGACACCATCTCTCAGGGCCCCATCTTTGACTCACCGACGCGGAGCTGAGTGGCAACGGTAGGCCAGGCCTCCCAGGTGGGGTCGGAGCAGCTGGGGTCGGGGCATCGCTCCGCATCGTCGATGCATCGGCGATGCGGCTTGATGTGGAGCCCGAATTTCTCCACGCCGATGGCGCTGATGCATCGCCGACGTCGCTGGTGCATCGCCGATGCATCGCTGGTGCATCATCGATGCATCACCGATGCATCGACGATGCGGCGCGATCCTCCGACCCCATCTACTCGGACCCCATCTAGGAGGCCCGTAGTAGGGGGATCGGCTCAGTAGTATTCAGTCGGGCCTAATCGCCTTCAATCGTTCCTACAAAAACCTCCCAGGAGTTGCCTCCTAAGGCTCAGGGAGGGATGCATCTGGTAAGGCTTGGGGTTGAGCACAGACAGCCACCCTCCAGGTAGTCGCGGCTGGCCTCAACAGGCCCCCGAGGAGTCCCAGCTGGCCTCAACAGGCCCCCTGAGTAGTCTGGGGCGGTCTCACCACCCTGGCGTTGTTGGTTGAAGTGATGAGAGCGGCCTGGACTACTCAGGGTGCCTGTTGAGGCCAGCTGGGGCACCTCGGGGGGCCTGCTGAGGCCAGCTGGAAGTACCTGGAGGGGCTGTCTGTGCGCAACCCGAAGCTTTATCAGATGCATCAACCCTCAATCGCCCATTGATCGCCGACAGGGGCCCCACACAGCCCATGAACGTGCGGATTGGCCATCGGGGGCGTATCGCCGATCTATCGGCGATGTAGCGCCGGTTCCAGGTCGATGTTTTCGCCCCTGAGCTGACCCCCCCCTGACGCTTGCCCCTCAGGAGACCGGCGCCGGGGCCAGGGCGCCCAGCCTCGCCCTCGGGGTGGCCAGCGGCGCGACGGAACCGATCGGCGGCGGCGATGGGCGGCGGCGGCGACGTCCACGTTTCTGGAGAGCCGACGGCTCGTTTTTTGTTCCCTGGTTTCGGGCCCCGGGCCCGTCGCGGATCGATCGGGCTCCACAGATGCCGCAGAAGGTTTGGGTTCAGGGCCTGGGGCTCCAGCCGTAGTTTTCCAGGCTTCCAGATTGGGTCAGAGCAGATGGGGTCGGAGGATCGCGCCGCATCGCCGATGCATTGGCGATGCATCGTCGATGCATCGGCGATACGGCCCGATCACCCGACCCCATCCACTCGGACCCTTTGGGAGGTTTCTGGGTTTTCCATGGTGTTGTCGCGGTGTCTGATGTCGGGACCGTCGACATCGGCCAACGATGAGAACTTTGCTATAATCCAGGCCCCCTTCGCGTCGTCAAAAACATCGCGACGGACGTTTTCCGCAGTTTACGGCGTCTGGGGGCCTTCGACGGGCCCCGGGACTGTCAACGAAACGACTCAGGACGAAAAGCGGGCCGGGGGGGATGGGTCGAGGCCTCCACGGGTCCGCGTGGTGAAAACGTCATGACGTCGGGGTTCCGGGGAGGACGGTGTCGGGAGCTCTGGGGGCCCACGCATCGAACAAAAGTCGGAGCGCTGGATGTCTGGGTTTGTCTTATTGTTGCTTTTCTTTGGGAGGGGGTCGTTTCTGGAAGTTCTCGCCGCCGCAGCTGGGCGCGTTCCGGAGGACTGGGCAGGAGAGGCGCCTGGAGTGGGTGCTGGGACCGGCCCTGGGAGTTTGGCCGACCTGCATGCAGCCCTGGCACCCAGACGTCCAACGTCTTGAAAACAGCGAGGCTGCCTTGCAACTCTTAGCCATCGGAGGCGCCGTTTTCTAGCCCAGACCCTCAAAGAGCGATCCAGGATGAAAAACCTGGAGCCAATCATGGGTCGAGAGGTCCCGTGGCCGGTTTCATGACGATCACGACGTCGGATGATCGGGGACGATTCGCCTCGGCCCATCTGGCTGGGCGCGGGTGCCGGTAAGGGCTCCCATCTCCCCAGACCCCCTGGCATCGTTGTGCCAGTCGTCGCGGTAGTGGTGGTGATGATGGTCGTCGTCGTGGCTCACGCCGCCCTGTGTGCCACCACGTGGCCCCCCCAGAGGGCTGGTCGGCGGCGCGCCCAGGGAGAAGTGATGGGGGCCGGGCCATCTCAGAAGGCTCGGAAGGCCTTTGGCCTTTGAGAAGTTTTCTGGCTGGAGGGCTGGAGGGCTTCTGAGGAGGAGGAGGAGGAGGACCAGTGTAAGCCCACGAGTCATCAACGATGTTAGAATAGACCCTCCCTTCAAGCTCCCTTTGTCATAGGCCCCTACAAGGGTTCATTTCCACTGCGGGAACTGCCTCGTTGGAAGACAACCGTGATTCTCGGGACTCCAATGCCACGGATCAATCTGACTGTTGCTTTTTGACGATCCTGAATCGTGCAAGAACGCCATTCCTGGGAATCCAAGACCGCGAATCAACGTTATTTGTAGCACCCTCATTATCCATAATCTTTCAAAAACACCATGTCTGGTACTTTGGCCATGGGAATCCGTGAACATCTTGCGTTTTCAAACAAGGAATGTGCGCGGCGCTAAGGCGAGAGCCACACTTCGAAAAGGAAATGCCCTCAATCCGTGAAGCCCTGGCAAAGTTTAATACGAATGTGCGCGGCTCTAAGGCGAGAGCCACATGTTAAAAACCACCCGCCCTTCATCTGTGAAGCTGTCGCCAATTTTAACGCTTCAGGGTCATAGATGTCGCCGGGCCCGCACTTTCGACCGGCCTCGGGGTGTGACAGGGAGAAGTTGTTTATAAGGGAAAATAATCGTCCTGTCGCCCGTCCTTCCTTCCCCGCCTCCTCCCGCTGACGCTTCCCATGCCTAGATTTCACGCGCGCGCGCTCTCGCCCATCTCTTCCATGCTGGCGCTGCGACGCTCCCTCCGCGCGCGCCTCCTCGGCGCCGCGCGCGCGGAGCCGAGCCCCGAGGCCGAGTCCAAGCCTCCTCCTCTTCCTTCTCCTTCCTCCTCCTCGTCCTCCTCCTCGTCCTCCTCCTTCCCCCGCGGGCCCCCGCTCCTGGCCCGAGGACCACGCCTGGGTCTTCTCCCCCGCGCTGGTCGGGTGCGCCTCGCCGCCGGGCGGTCCCGGCGCGCCGCCCCGGCCTCCGGCGGACGCCGGGGGCGGCCCGGAATCGTGCTGGACGAAAAGGGGGGATAGGGAAAGGGAGGGGGTTACGAAATCTGCTGCATGCAGCTGGTTTCGGCCCCACCGAGGGGCCCACTCCTCGATAAATAGCCGCCTCCCGGCGCCGGGAGGCGCCGGGAAAATCAGCTACGAGAGCTGATTCTCACCCCTCCCTTTGCTATCCCCCCCTTTCGCCCGACCCGACCAGAGGGGGGTGACGAGCAGTGGGAACCCATGCCAAGAAGCACCCTGCCTGCCTCCAGGGTGCCCTGGGTTTCTTGGGTTTCGATGGTTTTGCGATGGGAAGCGTGGCGTTCCCACGCAAAAAATCTGTGGGCGCCCTGGGGTCTCTTGTGGGAGTTTTCTTGTGGTCGAGCTCGTACTGTAGCGGGGTGTTGGAATCGTGGGGACGACGGAAACAAACGGATTTGTCTGCGCCGACATTCGCGCGTAAGCCGCCCGCGTACGGTCGCGCGTTTGCGCCCTCGCTTCCAGTATGGCGGGCCGCTCCGGGGGCCGCGGGGTAAAGTCGCTATGCCATCTTGCGTAAGACTTGCTCCTCGTCTTTCATATGGCTGGGGCTTCTTGGAGCCGTCCAGGGATTTGAGGTTGCCCAGCGCCCGTTCCAGCGAACAGGAAGGGCGGGCAGGTTCGAGGTTCTGGGTTCGGGACGGTTTTAGGCCTTCCTCGGCCTCCCGGGACCGTTGTCGGGCCCCAGGACCGTCCAATGCATATGGATCCGGGGCGAAAAACTGCACCAGGGGTCCGGGGATTGTTTTTGAGACCATTTGGCTTCATCCGCCCTCCTGACTGATTCAGACCCTCCAGCCGCCTCGTAGCTGGAGCCATGATATATCTCCAGATTTCATGCCCCCCTTGTTTTCTTTCGACGCATTCCTTGGCCCTTCATTTCTCAGGCCATACTCTTCGGGCCACAAGAATGGGGAGGGAAAGGGAGGGGGTACGAAACCTGCTGCATGCAGCTGGTTTCTGCCATGCCGCCGGGCCCATTCCTCGATACATGGGCGCCTCCAGGCGCCAGGAGGCGGAAGGAGCACCAGCTACGTGAGCTGATTCTCTACCCTGCACTTTCCTATCCTACCGTCTCGCCCCCAAAGGGGCCTCCAAGACGGCCCAAGAGGCCGCCAAGAGGGCCTCCAGGAATGCCCGAAGAGGCCCAAATCATTGATTTTCTTTTGGTTTTTGAAGGATTTCAGCATTTGCTTCTCTTCGGCCTGCCGAAGGCTCTAGACGGCCCAAAAAGCCCCAAAGGTCGCCCCCGAAATTTGCGACCCCCTCCTCTCTTGAAGGCCCCCTCCTCTGGGGTCCTCCCCAGGACGGCGAGCTGGAGGCCTTCCTGCGGGCGAACCGCCGGCACGTGACGGCGGAGGCGGAGCAGCTGCTGCGTTCGCTCAGCTCGAAGAAGACAGAGCGGCATACGCATAAACCTTCTGCCACGTCATGGTCTTTGGTAGCAAATCGTGTGAGCCTGGTGTGCCCTCTTAATGCCGTCTTCGGCGTCGATCGATTAGCGTCTGGGAGTCGATGAGATAGCGCCGACTCAGCGTCGGTTAGCGACGATCAGCGTCAATCTAGTGTCGATCAGCGCCGACTAGCGTCGATTAGCGTCGATTTGCAAGAGCCGACGAGATGGTATGGGAGGTTCCCATGGTCGGAAAGCATATATCCGCGGCCTCGCGGGCCAGGCCCCTGGGCCGCGACCTCGCGGAACACGGGGCGTTTTTGGCGCGGATGCCCCGCGCGCAGCGTATTCGTGCGACCGCGTATCCGCGGGATCGCGCCCCGGGATGCGGACCGCGAGGGCGCGGATGCGGTTATGTGCGCCGCTCGTGAACTAGAGCCTCGGGTTTGGCATTTTCGGCTTCCAGGGGCCGGCTTCGGACCTCGGAGCAGTCAGAAAAGGTCAGCTTCGGACCTGGGGCTCAGCGGCGATCCAAGAGGTCCGCGCCGCGGACCTCCGAAGGTTTATGCTGTTGCAGTTTTTTCTTCTTCCGTCAGCGGCGAGGATCTGCAGGGCTCGTGCACACCCTGGCTCTCAGGGGCAACGTTGGAGGGGATAGGCTCGCGGGGGGTGCATCGACTCCCAATCGCTCATTGATAGCCGATTGGGGCCCGAAAGCCCCAACCAGTCCAGCAACGTGCGGATTCGCTATCTAGGACCTATCGCCGATCAATCGGCGATGCATCGCCGATTCCAGGTCGAAGTTTCCTTCCCTGAGCTGGTCCCCTGCTAGCGTTGTCCCTCATACATCCTCGCGTCGCGACACAAAAGCACGGCGGGAGGTTCTCCAGGGTCCCTTGCCGTGCCCTGGGGCCGTCGAAAAATGTCTTGGGACGAAGAGCTGCGGGGAGCCACGTTGCGAAACGATCACGATGCCGGATGTCTGTGCACCACCACCAGCCTTGCCAGAGCCATCCTGGGCCCCTGGATGGTGTATGCGCCTTGTGTGCCTGAGGCCTAGGCGGGCGTACACACCATGCCAGGGCCTAGGATGTCTCTGGCCAGCCACGACGGTGGTGGTGGTGGTGGTGGTGGTGGTGGTGGTGTGTAGGAGCCTTCTGTGCCAAGGAGCTTGACCGTGTCGTTGCCAGAGGTCCGAGGAGCAATACATAATTTCGAAGAGGATCGGGGAGGGAGCTCCGAGGTGTTCCTTCAAGTTCGGCCTCCAGGGGCCTGTGCTGGGTCACAGGACCACCAAGCTTTGACGTGGGATTACAACAGCGGCATGATAGACCCCTGCGGGGGTCGGGGGGCCAGAAGGGAGAGGAGAGAAGATGCCGATTCGGATGCCCTCCCTCGTTCTCACCTCTTCGGGCCTTCTCTTCTTCTTCCTCCTCCTCCTCCTCCTCATCTGTCCCTCAGAGTGTCTGGAAAACGCCCTCTGGGCCCATCGACGCATCTGGACTGCATCGAAACCTCATATGGAGCTGAGGTTGCGAGGTCCTGTTTTTTTTGCGTCCCTGGAAGGTCACGGTCGGCGGGTTTCGCCGCCACTTTTGGACTCGCCTCGGAATCCCGGCCAGGGCGCACCCTGGGAAAGGTCTTGGGCATATCGTCAGATATCGGCAACCAGACCTCCTTTCTCCTCCTCCCTTCCTCCCTCCTCCCTCCTCCCTCCTCCCTCCTCCCTCCCTCCTCCCTCCTCCCTTCCTCCTCCTCCTCCTCCTCCTTCTCCTCCTCCTCCTCCTCCTTCTCCTCTCCCTCCTCCTTCTCCTCCTCCTTTTGTAGAATCGGCTCGCGTTCTGTTACCAAGCCACCATGATCTGGACGTGGCGGATTCTTTGGGGCACAGTGTCGTGGTGTTGCCGTGTACGGATGGTGCCGATTTCTTTGTTTGCCCAATGTGTGGCGGGTATATGCATCAGGCTGTTTTTGTTAAAACGTCGCTCTCGAAGGCTTGTGCACTTGAATTGAAAGGCCGCGGCCGCACTAAGTTCAATAACATCATCCAGGGACGATACCCCGGGAAGAGGCTGGGTGTAGGCAGATCTGAAGAGCTGCCAGCTGATTTTGTTCCCCTCGACTCGTCCGTGCCTCCCCCCCTCGACGGTCTTGTGGATGAAGTCGAGCCCAGATCGCTCCGACAAGTGGCTAGCGGGCCTCGTCTGGAGAGCTCCGCCACGGGGGCTCAGGGCCCTGCTGCCAGTTCTGGCCTGCATGGATGACAGAGAGCTGGCAATGCGGATTGCGCTGTCGAGTCTGACTCTTCGGATTGATTTGTTCGGGTGTCTTTTTGCCCCACTTCTGTTGTTTCTATTGGGAGCGGTGACTCCGCCTTTCTTCTTGTGTGCTGACTTTTAGTCTGAGTGACAGGCCCACACCAGGGATAGGGCGTGCCTATCGTCCTGGCGTTTTTCACACCAGGGGTAGGCATTGCCGAGTCGTCCTGGCGTCGCCTAACTTGCTTGTTCCTTGTACGTGTGCGCGCGCGCTGCCTGCACGCGTATCAGGCACCCCAGTTGTGGGGGAAGGTGTACTGCACGGGTGGATGGCTTATCCCGTGGGCCTTGCGCGGGGGTGGTTTCCGCCCTGACCGATGTGAAGCCTCGGGTGCTGGTGTTTTCTCTTCCCAGGTTCAGCTGTGTAAGTGCTTACGTCCTGGCGTTCTTTACACCAGGGGTTAATATTGCGCATTGTCCTGGCGTCGGCCAGGTAGTCTTGCTCTGTGCGTACGTGCGAGCGTTTTCTGCACGGGTATCAGGCCCCACACTTGTGGGGGAAGGTGCGCTGCGCGTGTGGATGGATGTCCTTGTGGCCTTGCACGGGGGTGATGTCCGCCCCGACCGATGCTGTGCCACAGTTTCGGTTTCTTGTTTCCCTGGATTGCGCTGGGGTTGTCTGGGGTTGGGGCTCTCTCGGGGGTGGTGCAGGTTACGCAGCCTGCCATGGTACCCGAGCCTTGGGGTTCCTCCCCCGTTTGTTGTCCCCATCCCCTTTCTTCTTTTCTCGGTGGGAGTTGCGGGCGCGTCAGCGGGGGGTGCAGGTTACGCAGCCTGCCCCGAACCCGAGCCTTGAGGTTCCTCCCGCCGCCGTTGCCCTGCCCCCCCTCCTTTTCCCAGTCGGGTTTTAGCTTCCCTGGAGCACGACCAGGCTGTCCTCGCTGGCCCCTGGTGGCCGCTGCGCAGGAGAAGCCAGTGGGTGCATTGGGCATGGAGGCAGCTGGGAAGCCAGTTGCCCCGACCGATGCTCATCCCACCCTCCCTCAGAGAGGAGGGGTAGCCTCCCTGGGCGCAACGCCGTCCCGGGTGGCTTTTTACGCCAAGCGTGCGTCCTCTGAGGGTTTCGCCGCCCCTCAGTTGCATCGTGGCTGCACTGTGGATGTTTAACAAAAATCCTCCTCCTCCTCCTCCTCGTCCTGTGCACGTTTGTGCACGGCCATGTATCTCCAGGGCGCACCTGGGCGATTGTCTCGCTGGCGCTGTTGGAAGAATGGGGTCTGCCGGACTGGCCCGCCTGGATCGGCGCTGCAAGGGGGGAGTCCGCCCTCCCGGCGTACAAAGTACACATCCGGGACACCCTCAAGGCCAGATGCAGCGCAGCCCTACGCCTACGACTGCACACGCGGGTCCGAGTGCCCGCCCCGCTTTCGCTCGGCCCAGTGCCCCGGGATGACCTTTCCACAGCGCTCTCTCTGCGCCTGCCCAGCACGGCCCTCTTCGGCCAGCGCTCCCTCAGTCGGCTCCGGTGCCAGCTCCTTGTCTTGAGCCACTCAGCAGGAGTCCGCTCGAGGGCCCGACGGCAGGTCTGTGTCTGCTGTCAGGGGCAGATTCTCAGCCCCATGCTGCATGTCCTGGGGAGCTGCAGCAACACTGGCGTGGCGAGAGCGGCATTCTGGGCAGCGCGCGGCTCCCCGCCTCCGCCGTCCAGGGAAGCAGCGGTCCGCGAGATCCTCTCGGTCCGCCCAGGGGAGGCCGGATTCGCGGAGGCAGCCACCCTCGCCAGAGACATTGACCTCGCTGTGTCGAGGTTCTGGGGCCGAGTGGCGGACTAAAAGCTCGCCTTTCCTCCGCTCGGCCCGTCCTCCTTGCCTGCGTCCCACCTCCTCTCCCTCCCTCCGGAGCCGGAGGGTCGGGCTGAGCCAGGCTGGGCACGCTGAGGTTCAGGTGGATTGGCCCCTCCCCCCTCCTCTCCCTGGGAATGGCTCTCCCCCCCTTCCTTCCGACGCCGCGCCACGCATCTGCGCCATGCACTGGCAGGGCCTCGGTCGGAAGGTCATGCAAGAGCTCCAATCGGAGAGGCCCTCCGGCTCTCCTCCGATTGGCCAATTCCCCCTCCACGGCCAGGCTTTTCTCCGACCCCCCACTTCCGAAGACGGGACGGTGCTGGGGAGGGCGGGGCCTGTAGCCCAGCTCCACCCACTCCTCCCCCTTCAGAATGCGGAGGCGGACTCAAGCTTGGTCGGCGTGGGGTCGCGCACGACGGCCCTCCCGGGCCCCAGGCGCCCCCCACGAAAAGGCGGCCATGCATGAGGCCTCCGACCGCCTCCTCTGGAGGACCAGTCCAGTCCTACCTCCTACCTCGTACCTCCTACATCCCTCCCTCCTCCCTCCTCCCTCCTACCTTCTCCTCCGCCTCCTCCCCCTCCTCCCTCCTCCTCCTCCTCCTCCTCCTCCTCGTCGCCCTCCTCCTCCTCCTCCTCCTCCTCGTCGCCCTCCTCCTCCTCCTCCTCCTCCTCCTCCTCCTCCTCCTCCTCCTCCGACGACGACGACGACGACGACGACGACGACGACGGCGACGACATATGAGCGACGGAACACGACGGGGTCGATTGCGCCGACATTCGCGCGTAAGCTTCTTGCGCAAGGCCGCGCGTGAGCACCCTCGGCCCGCGTGAGCCTCGGTGGAAGGCCGCTTGTTTTCTTCGCTCATGCTTCTCCCCGAGCGAGGCGTTGCTCTCTCACTGCGGCCCCTGGCGGCCGCTCTCGGGACGCAGCAAAAAGTCGGCGGCGAACGAGGGGGGGAAGTGAGAAGGAGAAGGCCTTCTCAGAAGGCGGCGGGACTTCTCAGAAGCGCTCTGGCCTTCTGATAACTCTTCTGTGTCTTCGGGGAAGGCTTAGGAAACTTCTCAGAAGGCCGGGGGACTTCCGAGCCTCCTGAGAAGGCCCGCCCCTTCTCGCTTCCCCTCCGGGCTCGCCGCCGAACAAGTACAGGGGTCGGGAGTTCAAGAGCCGCGGATCGGAAACGTCAGATCGGAGGCTGCACAGGTCGGCAGTTTTTCCCAGGCACCCGTCGGCGCGACTTGCTCCATCCGTGGCCTCAGAGCTCCGCGCCACCTCTCCATCCCGGGTCCCCACTCTTGGTCGCCCAAGGGGCCCTGGAGGCCGAAGCACAGGGACAGCGTAGCCCCCCCCCCCCCCCACGTAGCCCCCCGAAGCGAAGGGAGAGCGATGTCTTGAGTTTCGATGCGCGGCGCCTGGGCGTCCCGACCCTTGCCCCAGGGCAGGCTCTCCGGACAGAGTCGTTTTTCGACGGTCCCAGGGCCCAGCGAGGGGCCCCCTCGGCCAGAAACGAGGACACCTCCGCCTCGAGTTTTTCAGTGCGTCGGAGGTCTTGGTGCTCACCTTTTTTCTCCCCCGTAGGGTGTTCGATCATGGTCCCCTTCTTGAACGGAGCCATCCAGCCTTCGCGCCGAAGACCCCTGGAAGCCGCCAAAGGCCGTCGGAGACCGCCGAAGACCGCCAGAAGACCGCTGGAAACCGCCGAAGCCCGCCGAAGACGGCCGAAGACCGCCGCGCAAGGCTCGGAACCGATATGGGCCAGAAGGGGTCCAGGGTCGAACACGCAGCCCTCCCCGAAGGGGGCCTCGACAACTGCCGGGACGTCGTGGGCGTCATCCGCTCCCGCCTGCAGCGGCAGCCCACGGCGCCAGCGGCCCCTGCTGGAGCAGTCGGCCCGCGAGTGGTCGGAGGGCCCCCGGGGAGCCCGTGGGAGTCCTACGCGCGGCCGGGCGGCGACCGGGGGCCGCTGCTGGGGCCTGCGGGCGAGGATTTCGTGGCTCGCGCAACCCCGAGATCCGGGCGCTGCAGGGGCGGGGAGGGGGCCCAGCGATTTGGCCGCGCAGTGCGTGCGTGTGACTGTCGTTCCGCCACTCCTCCGCCTCCTCCTCCGCCTCCGCCTCGGCCTCCTCCTCCTCCGCCTCCTCCTCTGCCTCCTCCGCCGCTGGACGTGTTCCCCCGGTTGCGGGCCCCGCGGCCATCACGGACCGACCCGGGCCCGAATAATGCAGCAGGAAGACGGGATCCAGGGCCCCTCTCGGACGGGCCAGAGTGTTCCGGAACGCTCTCGGAGCGTTCTGGAACGCTTTGAGAAGGCCGCGGCGCCCGAGGCATCCTTCAGATCCGCTGGACCTCAGAGATTCTCGACTTATCCTTGCCAGATTTTATCCTCGTCCTGGCTTCGTCTTACCCTGCTCTAGCTTTCTCGCGGCGCTGTACTTGGTTCGCAGTGTCGGACTTCAAGAAATCTTGGCTTCCTCGCGCCTTGACGAGGCATCCCAGCGGAAGTTTCAGGCCTCCGATGGGCCCTTGCCGGGCCCCGGGGCCGTCAAGAATTGGCTCGGGCTGAAGGCCGGTCCCCAGAAGAGGTCCTGACCTTTGGGGAGCCTCGCTCTTGCACGACGTCGGACTTCTGGGAAGAGGGGGGCGGCCGTCAAGGACGGGGGGGGGGTATGTCCAAGAGGGCAGGCGGTTGGTGTCGGCGACACGTCAGAGCGGTCTTTCGTCGGGGTGACCTTTTTGTGCGGGCTTACTGGGGCTCCCAGATGACTGAACGTGATGCGATGGCAGCATGTTGTTCGCTCGGGTTTGGTCTCCCCGCGGCACCCGGAAGTCGTACACCAAAGGGCTTTCGAGCCCAGGGTCTCTTGCGTGTAGTCGATGGTGGCCTCTCATGAGCCCTCCCAGCTTCCCAGCGGCCTTCTCAGAAGCCCCTGGGCGATTTTTTGTGGGGGGCCCATGAGGAAAATCCTGGAGGCCTCGCGTGGCGCGCAACAGATGTATGATTGAGATCACACGTCCGCTCCGTAAGATCTGGGTCGACGTTTGCGCAGCGATGCTCCAGCGAACGTCCGACGTACATCAGACGTAGATGCGACGTCACCCGACGTGCCTCCGACGTAGACCCGACGCAAATCGTGTCTCACGTTGCCGCGCGAGGCCCGCAGGCGTTTCTGCCTCCCCAGCAGCCTATGGGCCCCTCTGAGGAGGCCCTGGCCTCCTCAGAGACCCCCCTCCCCCCGGCCTCGCCCTCGCAGAAGGGCCCCGCCCTCGCCCCCCCTCCGCCCGGCCTCGCCCTCGCCCCGCCCGCCCTCGCCCTCGCCCCCCCTCGCGGAAGGGCCCCCGCCCTCGCCCCCCCGCCCCCCCGCCCTGGCCTCCTCCGAGACGTCCCCCCGCCCTCGCAGAAGGGCCCCGCCCCTCGGCGCCACCTCTGCGTGCGCGCCGCCGAGAGGAGCTCGAGGGGCTCCTGCAGGCGAACCGGCGGCACATCTCGCCCGAGGCGCCGAGAGCTTTGGGACGGGGGCCACGGGCAACGACAAGGTTGAGTCGGGCCTGTCCCGCTACAGGGGGAAAGCCCCAAAATGGTAAAAGAAAAACAGTCTGGGGCCGATTTTTCGACTATGATTCTGACCTTTTTTCCCAACCATTCTGTGGTGTTGGGTCCTCGTTTTGAAGAGACGTTGCCCCGCGTTCCTCCTCCTCCTTCCTCCTCCTCCCCTTCCTCCCCCCTCCTCCCCCTCCCACACCCATTCTGGCACACCCCTCACACGTTTCGTGGCCCCATAGGGAGCTCCACCGAAGGCCCCAGTGGCTGCGCCCGCATGCGGTTCCACCCCCCATTCTGGCACACCCCTCACACGTTTCGTGGCCCCATAGGGAGCTCCACCGAAGGCCCCAGTGGCTGCGCCCGCATGCGGTTCCACCCCCCATTCTGGCACACCCCTCACACGTTTCGTGGCCCCATAGGGAGCTCCACCGAAGGCCCCAGTGGCTGCGCCCGCATGCGGTTCCACCCCCATTCTGGCACACCCCTCACACGTTTCGTGGCCCCATAGGGAGCTCCACCGAAGGCTCCACAGTGGCTGCGCCCGCATGCGGTTCCACCCCCCATTCTGGCACACCCCTCACACGTTTCGTGGCCCCATAGGGAGCTCCACCGAAGGCCCCAGTGGCTGCGCCCGCATGCGGTTCCACCCCCCATTTTGGCACACCCCTCACACGTTCGTGGCCCCATAGGGAGCTCCACCGAAGGCCCCAGTGGCTGCGCCCGCATGCGGTTCCACCCCCCATTCTGGCACACCCCTCACACGTTTCGTGGCCCCATAGGGAGCTCCACCGAAGGCCCCAGTGGCTGCGCCCGCATGCGGTTCCACCCCCCATTCTGGCACACCCCTCACACGTTTCGTGGCCCCATAGGGAGCTCCACCGAAGGCCCCAGTGGCTGCGCCCGCATGCGGTTCCACCCCCCATTCTGGCACACCCCTCACACGTTCGTGGCCCCATAGGGAGCTCCACCGAAGGCCCCAGTGGCTGCGCCCGCATGCGGTTCCACCCCCCATTTCGGCACACCCCTCACACGCTTCGTGGGTGGCTCCATGGGGAGCTCCACCGAACGCCCCAGTGGCTGCGCTCGCATGTGGTTCCCCCCCCCATTTCGGCACACCCCTCACACGGTTCGTGGCCCCATAGAGAGCTCCACCGAAGGCCCCAGTGGCTGCGCTCGCATGCGGCCCCACCCTTTTTTTTCGGCACGCCCTTCACGTCTCGTGGCCCCATAGGGAGCTCCACCGAAGGCCCCAGTGGCTGCGCCCGCATGCGGTTCCATCCTCCATGTCGGCACACCCCTCACACGTTTCGTGGCTCCATAAGGAGCTCCACCGAAGGCCCCAGTGGCTGCGCTGGCATGCGGTTCCGCCCCCCATTCTGGCACACCCCTCGCACGTTTCGTGGCCCCATAGGGGGCTCCACCAAAGGTCCCAGTGGCACTGCCCGCTTGCGTCCGCCACCACCCAGCACAGCCCTTGTTCCCTGCGCTTCACCCACCCAGAACAGCGCTTCGTAGCCCTATAGGGAGCTCCACCAAAGGTCCCAGCGGCACCGCCCGCATGCGTCCGCCACCACCCTGCGCAGCCCTTGCTCCCTGCCTGCGTTTCACCCACCCAGTACAGCGTTTCGTGGCCCCATAGGGAGCTCCACCGAAGGTCCCAGTGGCACCGCTCGCATGCGTCCGCCACCACGCAGCACAGCCCTTGCTGACCGCGTCTCGCCCACCCAGTACAGCGTTTCGTGGCCCCATAGGGAGCTCCACCGAAGGTCCCAGTGGCACCGCCCGCAAGCGTCCGCCACCGCCCAGCACAATTGCGGCATTCACAATTGCATATGGGTCCTTCGCCAGGCGAATTGGAATATTGTTAGGCTATTTCCCAACCATCCTGTGGTGTTGGGTCCTCGTTTTGAAGAGACGTCGCACCGCGTTCCTTCCTCCTCCTTCCTCCTCCTCCCCTTCCTCCCCCCTCCTCCCCCTCCCACACCCATTCTGGCACACCCCTCACACGTTTCGTTGCCCCATAGGGAGCTCCACCGAAGGCCCCAGTGGCTGCGCCCGCATGCGGTTCCACCCCCCATTCTGGCACACCCCTCACACGTTTCGTGGCCCCATAGGGAGCTCCACCGAAGGCCCCAGTGGCTGCGCCCGCATGCGGTTCCACCCCCCATTCTGGCACACCCCTCACACGTTTCGTGGCCCCATAGGGAGCTCCACCGAAGGCCCCAGTGGCTGCGCCCGCATGCGGTTCCACCCCCCATTCTGGCACACCCCTCACACGTTTCGTGGCCCCATAGGGAGCTCCACCGAAGGCCCCAGTGGCTGCGCCCGCATGCGGTTCCACCCCCCATTCTGGCACACCCCTCACACGTTTCGTGGCCCCATAGGGAGCTCCACCGAAGGCCCCAGTGGCTGCGCCCGCATGCGGTTCCACCCCCCATTCTGGCACACCCCTCACACGTTTCGTGGCCCCATAGGGAGCTCCACCGAAGGCCCCAGTGGCTGCGCCCGCATGCGGTTCCACCCCCCATTCTGGCACACCCCTCACACGTTTCGTGGCCCCATAGGGAGCTCCACCGAAGGCCCCAGTGGCTGCGCCCGCATGCGGTTCCACCCCCCATTCTGGCACACCCCTCACACGTTTCGTGGCCCCATAGGGAGCTCCACCGAAGGCCCCAGTGGCTGCGCCCGCATGCGGTTCCACCCCCCATTCTGGCACACCCCTCACACGTTTCGTGGCCCCATAGGGAGCTCCACCGAAGGCCCCAGTGGCTGCGCCCGCATGCGGTTCCACCCCCCATTCTGGCACACCCCTCACACGTTTCGTGGCCCCATAGGGAGCTCCACCGAAGGCCCCAGTGGCTGCGCCCGCATGCGGTTCCACCCCCCATTCTGGCACACCCCTCACACGTTTCGTGGCCCCATAGGGAGCTCCCCAGTGGCCACCCGAAGGCACCCAGTGTGGCTGCGCCCGCCATGCGGTTCCACGTCATGGCGCTTCACCCTTTCTGTACAGTGGCTGCATGCGGTGGCACACCCCTCACACGTTTCGTGGCCCCAGGGAGCTCCACCGACGGCACCAGTGGCTGCGCCCGCATGCGGTTCCACCCCCCATTCTGGCACACCCCTCACACGTTTCGTGGCCCCATAGGGAGCTCCACCGAAGGCCCCAGTGGCTGCGCTCGCATGCGGTTCCACCCCCCATTTGGCACACCCCTCACACGCTTCGTGGCCCCATAGGGAGCTCCACCGAAGGCCCCAGTGGCTGCGCTGGCATGCGGTTCCACACCCCATTCTGGCACACCCCTCGCACGTTTCGTGGCCCCATAGGGGGCTCCACCAAAGGTCCCAGTGGCACTGCCCGCTTGCGTCCGCCACCACCCAGCACAGCCCTTGTTCCCTGCGCTTCACCCACCCAGAACAGCGCTTCGTAGCCCTATAGGGAGCTCCACCAAAGGTCCCAGCGGCACCGCCCGCATGCGTCCGCCACCACCCTGCACAGCCCTTGCTCCCTGCCTGCGTTTCACCCACCCAGTACAGCGTTTCGTGGCCCCATAGGGAGCTCCACCGAAGGTCCCAGTGGCACCGCTCGCATGCGTCCGCCACCACGCAGCACAGCCCTTGCTGACCGCGTCTCGCCCACCCAGTACAGCGTTTCGTGGCCCCATAGGGAGCTCCACCGAAGGTCCCAGTGGCACCGCCCGCAAGCGTCCGCCACCACCCAGCACAATTGCGGCATTCACAACTGCATATGGTTGGGTCCTTCGCCAGGCTATTTTTTTTTGTTTCGTCCAAAATCCGCCTGTAGGGGGACATGCCCGACCTAACGATAGGGGGGGGGAGCGGCACAGGGAGGGTGGGATGCATCGACCCCCAATCGCGCTCATTCGTCGCCAGTACGGGCCCAGTACCGCCAGCCTGCCCAGGATCGTGCGGATTCACCGTCGGGGGCCTATCGCCGATCTGTCGGCGATGTATCGCCGATTCCAGGCCGATTGTTACCTCCCCCCTATGCCAGTCCCCCCCCATTGTTGCCCTTCAAGGGGTCAATGCAAACGAGGGTCAGCCAGAGCGCCGGCTTTTGCAGAATCCTGCAAAGCCAGGGTTGCATTGACCCGCATTAGCGCGAAGGGTCCTGCAGGAGCCTGAAGGAGTTTGCAGGATCTTGCAAAGCGTGACCGACCTGGGTTTGCATGGACCTGGGTCAGCACTTAGACATCCGAAGGCGGAGCAGCTGCTGCGCTCACTGAGCGCGGAGGATCGAAGGGGATGCTGGCCCGTGCGCCGAGCACCGATCCCGGCCAGGTTCACCCTGTTTCCAGGATCGGTACACGCGCTTCTCGATGGTCTTCTGGGCATGTGTGAGCCCAACGTGTGCGTTACCCCGTTCGGCAGTTCCACGGGTAAAAGGCAGACAGTGCCAGCCCTCATTTTAGCGCTTGCGCCTGAAGGGCTTCCGTGGAAGCACACGTTGGCGCTAACACATGTTCTGAGGTTCATCGAGCCTGCCCGGTCAAGTCAGTAGGGCGCACATTCGTTCGCGGTAAACATATATGCGCAGCCTCGCGGTCTGGACTCTTCAGCCGAGACCACATGGAGACTGTGTGGATTTGCGCGGACGTCCCGCGCTGGGATCGCGTATCGATGGGATCGCGCCCCAGAATCCAGCCCGCAAGGGCATGGATTGTGTGGTCCTTCATGGGAGCCTCAGAGGGTCCCCACATTCCTTGCGGTCTTGGGTGTTTCGTTTGAGTTTCACCGGATTTGGTTGACATTTGGACGAGATCTTGACGAACTCTCGACGAAAGGGTGAAGAGGGGTGGTTGAAATCTGGATGAACATCAGTCGACAGCATGCTCATGATATGGCCGCGGAGGTCACAGAGGCCCCCACGAAGGCTCACCCGATGTTGGATGTGGATGTGCTCCGCGCTCGTTTTTGCACGCCGATGCTGGGCCCAGGATGTGCGTGGCCAGGAGCGGTGGTGGGTGCACGGTGAGCGCCCTCCCAGAGGAGGTTCGGCGCGTCGCCGCGGGAGGCGACCTGGCGAACTGCCGCGACGTCATGGCCGTCATCCGCTCCAGGGTGCAGCGGCCAGCGGCCCGCGCCGGCATTCCTTCTGGGGGCCTGCGGCACGATCCTCCCGAGGATCGAAGAAAAAACAGCAGAACCATACAGCCGAGGTTGATTCGTGGGACGACCCTGCCAATTCAAGGGTGCCCCTGTGTCCTGAGTTTCGCGACCCATGCCTCCGTAGTCCTACAGCACTGTGGCCATCGGAAGGCTCTTGTGTCCTCTCGCATGCCCTCTCCAATCAACTCCGACTGTACGTTTTCGACGGTCCGCGCGGACTGTCTAAAGTTTATGTTCATGCCATGTTTTCTTCCCCCAGAGGAGCTGATGCCCTTCCTGCAGCTGAACCAGCGGTACCTCTCGCCGGAGGTGGAGGATTTGCTGCGCTCCTTTAGCAGCGAGGAGCTCGCGCGCGTGGTGGCGGGGGGGGACCTGGCGAACTGCCGGGACGTGATGGCCGTCGTGTGCGCGCGGGCGGGGCGGCGACCGCCTGGGCCCAGGGACGCCCCGCCCGACAGCGACGAGAAGTTCGCCAGCTTCTTGGAGAGGTTCCGGGCGCACAAGGACGGCACCCTCAGCTTCTCCGAGGTCGCGGGCCTCGGCCCAGACGCTGGCGCTGGGGCGCTCGGCGCGCTTCCCTCTGGGACGGACTTGTGGGGGCGCTGGAAGGACCGAACCAGAGAAAACGTTACATGCGGGTCCCAAAAATCTGCACTACCACCACCACCGCAGTTTTCCTTCCCTACTCCACCCGTCTCTTCCCCTCCTCCTTCCTAGGAGAGGGAGGGGGTGAGGGACGCGGTGGTGGTGGTGGTGGTGGTGGTGGTGGTGGTGGTGGTGGTGGTGATGTATGTTTTTCGGCCCCGCAACGTAGACACACTCTCTTTCGGAGGTCCGCGCGGACTGCTTAGAACCGCGCTTGACTCCCGTCTCTGGCGCGCGGAGTGCGCCAGCGGCAGCGATGGGCGCTCGCATTTTGCGCATCGGTGCTGGAGCACCCCTCCCCGGAGCGCGGACCGCGCCAGGGGCGGCGCCACCGGCGTCGCCAGGGGGGGGGGTCAGAAATCTGCGCGGGCCTTCGGGAGCCTGAGATCCGACGCCACGACCAAAGTTCGGCGGCGAGCGACGGGGGGGAAGTGAGAAGGAGAAGGCCTTCTCAGAAGGCGGCGGGACTTCTCAGAAGCGCTCTGGCCTTCTGAGAACTCTTCTGTGTCTTCGGGGAAGGCTTAGAAAACTTCTCAGAAGGCCGGGGGACTTCCGAGCCTCCTGAGAAGGCCCGCCCCTTCTCGCTTCCCCTCCGAGCTCGCCGCCGAGAAATAGCACATCGCGACAAATCACGACCCGAGCTCTAGACTCCATGTCTGTCAGGCGTTTTCGAGCCGGATCGATCCGTGAGGGCCCCGGGACCCGAGCCAGAGCAACATCGTCCGTTGTGAGCAGTGTCGACGCCATGATCATGGCGCCCGGCCTCTATCAGCCGAAGAGGTATGTGACCGAGCAAAAGTATCGACCGAACATGTCTCCGAACTTGTGACTGAGAGCGTCGTGTGATCTCATGTATAACCGAAATTGTTAACGGATTTGGTTTCAAACCCAGAATGCCTGCTACACATTTTCACGTTCGGAAGAGTTTGGGCGCCAGTTTCGGTCACATTCGGGCGCACAGTTTCGGTCACAACACCCCCCTGATGGAGACGACGCCGCGTGAACCTCATCCCAACATACTTCTACTATACGGTGCGTGCGTCGGCCACGCAAGGGCGACGCGCACGCTTGGAAATCTTGAAGTAGAAGCTCCACGGCGGGCGCTGTCTGCCCATACCGCTTGGGAAGCGAGACTCGAAGGTTCGTGTACTACACGCTCGTGTAGGACGTGCGCCTTCAACAGCAGCACAGAGTACTGGTATGACCTTCTGCGTCCCGATGCATCGGCGATGCGGCGCGATGCATGGCCCGATTTCCTCCACGCGGACTTCGCCGATGCATCGCCGAGGTTGCCGATGCATCGCCGATGCATCGCCGATGCGGCGCGATCCTCCGACCTGGGAGGCCTCTGTAGGACAGCTCGTTTCTTCTTCCCGAGGAGCTTTCCGAGGAGCGCGCCGGGGTGCCGATCGCGCCGCCGTCGGATGCCCGCATGCAGACCTCCGGGGGCACGCCGCCCGCGCCGCAGCTGCGCACGGGGCACATCCCCGTGCTCCTGGAGGAGACGCTACAGGCGCTGCTGGCTCCCGGGCTGCCCGGCACGTACGTGGACGGCACCCGGGGGGCCCGAGATGCCATAATCATGGTTTCTCCTGGGGCTTCTGAAGGCTTGTAGAGCTCTCGCCGTCTCGGGCTGCCGGCGCTCCAAGACGGCCCAGGAGGCCCTCAAGATCTTGCCCCCAAGAGCGCCCGGGGCGGGGGAGTCCGCGACGCTCGCCACGACGACGACGGAGCGGGTGTCACCGAGCGCGTTCCACTACTCGCAAAGTGCCTAATTACTCGCAAACGTCCGAAAAACATGTGTCTTTCTAGATGTAAAATGTCGCAGATCCCCCGCGGCGAATGCAGGCCATTTGTGAGTAGTTATGTTGCGAGTAGTGGAACGCGCTTGTCTAGGGTGGGGAGGTCCGCCGACGAGCGCGGCGCCGCGGAGGAGGGCCGTCTCAAATCTCCCCCCCAAATAGTAGTTTCAATGGTAATTGGCGTCATCCCCCATTCGTGCAGAGGGGGTGGAGATCATGGTTACTTGGCTTATGTGCTACGAGGAACGTGTGCGCCTGCATCGAGCAGCCAATTTGTTCGATATTTTTCAAGATGCCAGGCGTGTGTGATACGTTGGCGCTGTTTCGTTTTACTCGGTGCATCACGTATGCTGGGCGTTTCGGGGGCACTAGCCGCAAACCTCTCGAAATCTATACAACCTGGCCGCGCGAGCTATTCGACAGGTTCCTCGGATGCACGCAAGCGGAGGCATATGATGCACTCAAGGCAGCGGTGGCACGGGGAAAACTGGCGAGAGGGGGGCGGAGCTATCCGTGATACGAGGAATGAGGATCGAGCCGAGGCGATGTGGAAGGAGGGCAGGTTGGCGAACTGAAGAGAGGGGGGAACGAACGAGAGATGCGGGTGGATTCGACGGGGGAGACACGAGGGAAGCAAGGATGAGCAACTTAACAGAAGTGACCATGGAGGAACAACGGATCATGGGAGGGGGGCGGGCGCGAGGGCGCGCGAAGCCAACTCGTGGCGGGTCCGACCATGGACAGAAACCGACCGTTCGCGCGTCGAACACTGGGCCGCCGCAACCTTGTTTGGGAAAAGCTGGTGTGGAGTGTGTCGGGTTCTAAAATCAGCGCTCATGGGCGCAACAAAAACACTGCCCTGCAGTTCCGCCCCATGGCCTCGTACTGACAACTTTCGCAACTTTCATCTTCACAATCGTACACCCCCTCCGCCCACCCTCACGTCTGTCGTATACGCATGGTTCAGCAGGCTGCTTCTGGCGCGACGCCGCTCTACGTCAATACCCATCGGAGCGAGGAGGCTGCTGAATCAGCTACTGGCTCGTGGTGGGGTGCAGCTTCCAAGTCCTGGGTATCGGCGTCGAAGAGCCAGAAGCAGTCTGCGGCGTACCCCCTGGCCTTGTGTACCAGACCTGCCTAGCGGTCGACTGCGCCATCACTGATCGGAACGCCAGGTGCAGTGATAGCATACACGCAGACGGCGAGTTTGGCTAGCATGCGTTCGTTTGCAACCCTCGCCCCCTGTCCCCCCCCAACTAGCAACACCGAGAGTAACAACACAATACAGCCGCATACATACATTCAACCATACATGATATGCGCCTGCACATTCTGGGGTACAGGCGGGAGGTGGCCATGGGAGTGTGTGGGCGGACCTTGGGTCGAATGCCGATCGGGAGATCTCGGGGGCGGCGAGTCAACCATTGAAGTATCATCATCAGTGTTCCTAATGTCGTACCCCTCTGCCTCCACGATCGTCTTACCCTCGCCCCCACGCCCGTCTTCCTGATCCCATCGCTCGTACTATGTTGCCACCCTCACTCGTACTCTCATCGTTATCCACCCGACCCACCCGCCTCCAACTTAATATAATGAGTGTGCTGCAACTCGGGACCAGGGATGCGCGAGGGTTGCAACGTTGCCCCCTGTTTCCTTTTTGCCACGCGGGCCCGACAACACCACGTTGGGCTCGCGCGATTGCCTCTCGGCCAGATGGCAGTCGCCTCGGTACGATGGTTGGTGTTGATGGTTGGCCAATGGTGGGCCAACGGTTGGTCACTTGTTGTGTAATGGTGCATTTGCTTGCGAGATTGCAGCTGCCACCGCAGGCAGCACGTCAGGCGTGAACGGTAGCATGTGATGGAGTGGGCGGTAGTAGGGAGGAAACACCAATTGCTTTGCATTGCATGGTTTCGATCGGCACCCGAAGGCGGACCGACTGTGGTAATGGATGACGTGGGATTTGCGTCTGCACATTTATCTACACGTTGCAGCTGGACTGTTTTTACCCCCCGATTTCTCAGGCAATCACCTCGAGTGTGCAGAGAGCGAGCTCGGCCAGCCGCATTGGAGTGATCATTATATCGTGCCCTCCCTGTCTCCTCTTCCTCGTCCGCGTCCTCATCTCACCCTCCTGTTCCAGCATCCTCGTAAATCGTTTCACGGCCGGGCTCGTTTAAGCTCATGTGCTCGTACTTTTCTGCCCTGATGGTGCCCGATCGCCCGAGATGGCACCGTGCAGGTCGCAAGGACCCACTGGTGTCACGTGCGGCCACATTTCTGGCCTCGGTGGCGTCACGCGCCCTCGACTTGGATCGAGGTCGGGTAGCGTCATAACCCGTTGCCCCCTCCCCCCCACCTTGATGCGGTACCAGATTGGCGAATTAAGAATGGATGGGGGGTGCACGAGTGGGCGAGGGGGGGAGGACGACGAGTCATGGCGCGAGCCAGCCTCGAGGAGGTGGCACGCGGCATTCCCAGGGTCTCTAATGCGCGCCGCCGATCTTATTCGAAGAACATATCTTGATCAGGGGCATTACTGGAAAGGACAAACATCCTGCTCGCAGTTGCCCTCACCTGCCCCAACATCCCTCCTTGTCTCTCCTCGGCCCCGTGCAGCGTAAACTGCACGCCCGTTTTCCCCTCGGGTCATTCTCAGCACCCCCCAAGCAAAACTTCAGATGACAAATGTTAGAATGACAATCGCCCCCCGAGGTTCGCTCACACATACGTGGATACACCAGCTCAGCTCTCAGGGGTTTCACACATCGTGTATTATATAAATAGCTACCAACGCCCAATGTGAAGAAACGGCCAACCAGCTACACTGGACATCGGAATGGTAGAACTTTAATTTACCACAGACGATACATATCGCACCTATACGCGTAACGTAGCTACTACTATCATTACATCTCAGTTTTTAAGTTCTCCCATGCTCTCACTTCAGCGGCTGTCACATTCATTTAGCGTGATTTCCATGTCTGCAGGTGCTGGCGGTTGATTGCCGGCGGTAAAAAATAATTGCCATCACTTTGGCGCTTAAGACAACCGCCGCGGCACCTTAGGGAGGGCGGGCGGGGGGGCGGGCCAGTGCCGTACCCCCCCATGGGTGCATTGGGGGGGTCCCAGTGCTCCCAGGACTGCCCGGGCCCGCTCCCAAGCACGTCACGACACACCAAGAGGGTCCTGAAGATTGCCAAGAGCCCCAAGAGGCCCCCAGACACGCCGAAGATGGCCTCAGGAAGGCCGACGACGTCGCCAAAACGCCGCGTCAGCGTGCGTCAGACCCCTTTCTTTTGGTCGCTCGTGTGGGATGTTTCTACCCACTGCACTTTCGGCCGCGGCGGGCACTCGATGGAGATCTTGAAGCGGCTGGCATCGTTTGTCCCCATTTCGGAGACTTCTACCCTGTACGTTTTTCGGGTTTCCGTCTCTGCAAGCACGCTTGAGTCGCGAGAGTTAGCGCCCAGATCCTATTTCGGACCTCCTCCTCCAAAGCCAGATGGGCTCCCAGCTCGCCGAGAAGGTGTACGACGTTCAAGTGCGGCCCCAGAGCAGGCCCTCAAAAACTTACGGCCTCCGTCGAAGGCACCTTCGGCCGCGGCGGGCACTCGATGGAGATCCTGAAGCGGCTGCCCGCCGACTCCCGCCTCGTGGCGTTCGACGTGGATCCGTCCGCGATCGCGGTGGGGCGCCAGCTGGAGCAGGCTGCCTGGCCGGGCGGGCTCCTGTTGCGAGCCTGCTATCGGGGGCTGTCGCCGAGCTCTTGGCGATGTTTCCCCCCTGTGCCAGTCCGCCCCTTACGTTCCTCCTCTTAGGAGGCGGGCGATGCATGGGGGGGGGTAGCGGGGGCTGCTGAAAAGGTGCAAAGGCCAGACGGGGGCCTTTAGGGCCCGAACATGGCACCTGTCTCCTCCCCCCTTTATCGGCCCCCATTAATTCGCGCCCAGCCCTCAGTGGACCTTCGGAGACTCGACAACTATCGACTCACATGTTGTTCTGCACTTCCGTACCCCTCTGGCTCAAGCCACTCTGGCGCGAGCTTGGTCGGCGCGACCTGGGTCCGCCGCCGCCGAGGGCTGGGGCCGGATGAGTCCCGCGCGGCGCGGCGGTGGCGGTGGCAATGGCGCGCTGCTGCCGCCCCCTGCGCTGCGGCGCCGCCACCTGGTTGCTGCTTGGGCCCCTCGCCGCGGCGGCTTCCATGGCTGGCGCTGTCCCTGCTGCGGCGTCACCCGCTGCCGCCAGGGCTGCTGGCGCCGCCGCCGCCGCCGCCGCCGCGGTCGCCCTCGGCGCTGCCGCGGCCGCGCCCGGCTGTCTGGCGGGTGCCGCTGCTGGCGCCGCCGCGCCGCGGTCGGCCCCGCGGCTGGCCCCGCGGGCGGCCGCTGCGGCCGCTGCGGCCGGCGCCTGCGCCGTGGCCTCTGCCCGTGCGGCCCTTTGGTCGGCGGCGGCCGCGCTGGGTGCCGACGCTTCGCTGGCCGTAAGACCGCCTGCTGCCACCTCGTTGGCCACCCCTGAGGGGTTGGGCCAGCACGCGGCGGGCGCCGCGGGGCCCACCATCGAGCCCAGAGCCGCTGCTCTTCCTGGAGAGCCCTCGTCGCCACGGCCGGTTTCCCCGGGAGTCAAAGAACCCCGTCGCCGTGGCCCGCTGCCTTCGGACGAGGAGATGCATCAGGTGAAGATCGCCGACTTGGGGGAGGAGGAGGAGGAGGAAAGGAATATCGACAAGGGCTCCGAGGGGGACGTGGAGGACTACATGCGCGTGGTGGCGGTCGAGCAGGAGGGGAGAGCGAGG